ACACACACACACACACATATCTCTGTAAATTTGTCGGACTGTGCAGATTTGAAATGATAGATGCTGCTGGCTGTTTTTTATTGTTCTTTATAGCCCCAGTCCAATCCATTACAGGCTGGAAGTGAGATCAGCTCAACAACAAATGTGTGAGAGCTCTATTATATGATGCTGGATGCTTTGGTCAACAATGTTTTTGCTATTTGAAGGAAGCTTTTATTGTAGATCTTGGCATAGATGGTCAAGATAAGCCTGCTTTTTCAACCTATCCTATTCTGACCTACCACGAACAGTAGTTCAGGTTAATATGGATTAGCATATGACCTGTAGAAGCTTTGCTAATGTGTACAGTACACGGTAATGCAAGGTTTAGCTAAGGCCAACGTCTGATAGTGTAATCTGAAGATGCAACTGACGTTGTCATCTTGATCATTTTCCACTTCTAAAGGCTCATAGAAAGACACAGTACATTGACAATGCATTCCTCACCACAGAATTACAATACGATACCTTCCGTCGGTGAGATGGCACAATAAAGAAGGTTTCAATTTCATGTTTTTGGAGGAAGGCGTTCCTTTCGTGTCCGTTTCCAGGCTCCACCTCATAATCTCCATTTAGGCACTCCAGCGTAGATCTGGTGATGTGGACTTTACTGTGGAACACAGGGACAGATCTCATAGCCACTGCAGCTGCAGTAATTAGGTGCATTTGGCACAAACAGTTCTGAGCAGGTCATCAGCCGAAGAGTGTTACCGGAGACGGTTAAAACAAGGCCTGACATCCTGCTCCTGTAGGCATTTTGCAAAACTGAAAGAAATTACTTACCTTAAAATGCTACAAAAAGGTCATTTTGTCTTTGCTCAAGTATTTGAATTGTATTTTATGTAAACAGGATAAAAAACAACTATATGGTTGAGGTTAGTGCACCTCTGCAGTTTGCCTTTTTTCCTGACATGTCTTAAAACAATTACCAGTATTTTAAAGGCAATGACAATAAGATAAGAAATATTCACACCTGACTATAGAATAAGGTAATAAGAGGCAATTCTAGATCACATTATCCGTCACAAAATGTATCCAGAGTACCACAACAGAACAGACAAAGAAAACTGGTGTCCATAGCTGTAGAGGCTGGTATTCATGTAAAATGTCCAATACTGACCCAGGTAGTCCTCCAGCCTCCATCACATTGGCTAGGGTCACATCATTGGACCACACATCATATTGCCATTTCCTGAGGCCCAGCACTCCACACAGCACCCGACCTGTATGCAAGCCTACGCGCATGTTTAGGTTGACCTCTGTGGCCTCCGCTACTGACCTGCAGGGGCATAACACATGGTTTACTGGGCACTGTACAATGATTGAATAAGACTTCTAATAGTTAACATGTCTGTCAAACTAGACTCAAAGTCAAACAAATGAATAAAAACGTTGTCTTTCATAAACTCATATGTTTTGATCCATAAATAAGACCACTGCTCTTATCATTGTATGTTTAGGCACAAATATTAAAGAAAATCATCAGTGTTACTTTAAACAATGTTGTTGCTATAACCTAAGAATATTTACTATTAAAAGCAATTGTTATGTACAATGACTGAGGTCAGATCCTTAGTTCAGAATAATATAATATCTGTAACTACAAGCATTCGTTGAAAATGCTGCAGATATGGCAATCTGTCAGGAAGTGGACAGGGAACAAACACTGTTCAAAAATGTTCTCCCTAGCTCTAACATACCAAAATAGACTACAGAACAAAAAAGACTGCAGAGTTGAGCATTTCTATCTATCAGTGTTGAGGAAAAAGTCTAATCTTAATTAACAAGCTGGTTTAATCTTCTGCTGCATCTCAATCTCTCACTTTCTTTTCTTTTTTCCCCAATGCCAAACTATGCAGGGTATGTAGGCAAAACAAGCTCCTTTAAGCTCAATAAAATAGCTAATTTTCTTTCTCCAGTAAAGCCTTTTCTCTCAGCCAACTGTGGTTCTGCTCGCTCAAATGTTCAGTGTTAGAATTCACTCACAGCACACATGGCTAATCAGGCTGCAGTTTGCCCTACTTGAAGGAAATCTCTCAACACGGACTCAGTTAATCAGTGTGTTTCGAATAAAATAAAGATGAATAGAGTAGTGTAAAAGTCATACTGCTAAATGAAACACTCAACAAATATGAACACTCACGTTATGGTGTCAATCATATCCAGACCCATTTCTACACAGCAGTGGGCATGGTCAGTCTTGGGTTGGGTCAGTCCAGACACACAGTAGTAACAATCCCCCAGGATCTTAATCCTGCGACAGTGGTTCTCCTGCCAATCAGAAAAGAGTGAAATTGTGATTCACGTATTTCTCCAAGAAGGATACAAGCCAATCAGCAACAAAATATTTTTTACTTCTGAATCTCATTCTTTCATAGGATCAAAAATGAACCTTTAATCATCATGGTCAGAGGTCATGAGTTAGTGTTAGAAAACATAATAACAGAGTACCACAAGGCATCATTCTTTCAGTTTAATCAAAGCTGCACCAGTGGTGTTTTAGTTAAAAATTCTGACATTTAATTATAGTTTACCCATTACACTGATCCATATCCATCAGTGTAATTTGTAAGTATTGCTTCAAGCTACCCATTGCTGCAAGTTCCAAGGTCGACTGAGTTCATTTTGCAGGAGTTATGGCCTTTCAACATTAGAAGGTTTTACCCTAAACTGCAAAATCCTCATCATAACACTGTATCATCCCTCAACATTTTATGGAAATTACACGTGGTGATGTAAAATGCTTTACAATTAATTAAAGTTCTTATAAGCCAAGTTGGATATTTATAATGATTTAACTCTGATGGCACATTCCTGGATAGTTATTTTGTACTACAATAATTGTATGTTTATCAGGATAATACAGGTAACACCTTTTTCCATCCTAGTTTTGTCAGAATTAGCCCAGTGGTATTTTGAGAATTATTGAAATTAGTCAAAAAGGGTGTCATGGAGCTAAACGCTTCATAGAAAAAAAATCAACTCAGGGCAGCAATGTCTCTGGTTCAGCTAATTGTTCCAATAATGTCCCTCTTTATGTGTCTTAGGCTATGTGAAATGGGATCTGGTCCACACTGGCATTTTCACAACATTTTTCAATAGTTTGCTGTCTGCAGAGAAACACAAAAAGGACAAGAACATCATTAAGGAAGGAATAGTGGGAAATACACTCATTCACCTTGCTAAGAGTTAGATCACAACACATCCTGTATCTGTTTGTTAAATATGAAGAAACAACCAGCAACCGGTTAGCTTAGTGTAGCACAAAGACCGGAAATAAATCCATGTACCAGCAGCCCTAAAGCTCACTAATTAATATGTTATGTTGTTGGTTTAATCCATGAAAAGAAATGTTGTGGTTTTAGGGGTGAAATGCTCTGGAGTATTTCTTGGCCATTTTCCCTGATTCCAGTCTTAATGCTAAGCTAAGCTAACCAGGGCGGGCTGTAGCTTCCTATTTAGCGAATAGACATGCGAATGGTATCGATGTTCTCAACTAACTCGTACAAAAGCAAATACAGACAGTTGGAGGCAAGATAAACTAATGGGGTTATATATATACAGTATATATATGATGCTGTCACAGGATCTACACATGGACTGATTGCATGCTCATTATCCAATCCAAACTCTTGAAACTTTGAACTTACACCCCCATTGAAATGGTTTCTACCACAATGCAGCGCTAAGTCAACAGATCAGTCTCGCTTTAGGGAATAAGGTGAGTCACTCTCTCACTCTTTAGGGACAATAAGCAGTGGCATGAAAAGGCAGCTCACAAATATAACCCATTATTAGAGAATATGAGCAACAAACATTCATTTTACCAGGGAGACTGGGTTACCGTGGACGCCTTCTCATAACCCTTTATTGTTTCCATGGAGGTAATGGGATCACTGGCCATGCATGTGAAGAGCACAAAGACTCATAATTATGCACATTGGTGGGCACAAGACAAGACGGATGCTCTATTTTTAACATGTAAACCATGTGAGTTTTTAGAAAAGAGAGATAGCTATGGCTTGTTAGTTTTACATGCCGTGGTCATGCTTTCTGCGTGCTCAGTGGCATGGAAGCACATGCGCTGTTTATGTAAAATATATTAGGAGACGCAAATGTACAGAGGAAAAAGAATTCTGCAGCAGTATGTTGTAGACTGCTGAGCAATGCAATGTTTTGCTTCTTTTATGATTTAATATTGTACTGAATATTTCAAAATTTAGACAATAATTATTTATTTCAAATGAGGATTCAAAACTATTAGGTACTTAGACATTATGACATTATATAAAGACTATAACATATAATTATACACTATGGTCACTCATTTTATGTTAACACAATGTTTATTATGTTTATTATGCAAAATGTATTAATATTTATGGAATAGAGTATATCTATATTTCATTTATATTGACTGTCACTTTGCTTTTTACAAAGACATTTACTGGTCTTGGATATTTATTGTATACTATATAGCTGTATACCTTTCTAAATTTGATATATTGTTATTTGTATGCAGTGTATATTTGTATCTTATTCTTACCCTACCTCCCCGATTTGCTTCTGTTGCTGCTGCAATTTCCTCCTTAATTTCCTTCCTTGGGGTCTTACTTTATCTTTAATACCTATGATCAGTGGACTGGGCTCAGTAATCGAACACAGTTTCTTTTTTTTTAATTTGGTATCCTGTGAAATGGATCTTAATGTATTAACTTCTAAAGCTCAGTTGACAATAAAAACATTTATGGTATTATAACAAAGCCAATGAGGTCTCTTTGGGGTAACTCAGGTCAGTGGAGCAGTAGCAGATGGCACAATAGTGAGGCATGGTTGAAGCTACAGGAAGCAGGGAAAGCCCTGGTACTTACAGAGTCTCCTACTCTGTACTTTTCCTGTGCTAATCTGCACTGTGACGGCTTAGGAGCTGATTCAGTCACAAGCTGGATTACCAACGTCATGTGACTGAAGCATTGTGGGCAATCTGGGTGGTCATCAGCATAGAAGAAAGATGGGTACAGTGTATTAGGCACAGGTAAAGTTTGATACCTATTCACAGTTTCCATTAGAAAGGAAGCACAATAGTGTTTTTAAGATGATGAAGATGAATGTTTTGCAAAACATTCATCTTAAAAACACTATTGCTTTGAGATCAGAATACATTGAAAGCAGGTGTAGTTGTATTGTCAGGCACCTTACATATGGTATACCCATATGCTTGCAGAGATGCAAATTAGCAAACACTTCAGTGCCCACAGACAAAGAGAAGGAGACAAAAAGGAATGCAGAGACAGGGAAGGGGAACATTCAGTAAATGATTATGAAGGAAAGGATGAGCCAGCTGAGAGAAGCAGCAGTTAATTTCCTAGTCCCCAAAGGAGAGAGCAGTGCACACCGTGCTTTGTCTTTTATACAAAGACAAAGATCAGTGCTGTGTACACATTATTGATGGGACCAAAGATTAGGGTTTCCACTCCTTTAGCTTTGGGGCGGTGAAAGGACACAAGACAGAAGGTGTGCTTGTGGCTGTCTCTGAATGTAGATTGTAGACACTTTTCTTAATAGTACATGCAACCCACTGTTTTATGTTTGCATTTTATATTAAGGCTTTACATTTTTTTCAATCCTCCATGGTTTGTTGAATAATTTAATGTCAACATTTCATCAATATAGGCAGAAAATGATTTATTGTGAGGGACCTCTGTTGGGAAAAATCTTTAAGAGTGCTAGAAGAGTTCTCTAAACATTTCCCCTGCGCCACAGACTGGATATATTCCTTTTTTGTCACTAGTTCACTTATTGATTTGAATTCATATACAATCATTTATGTGCAACAACAAATATATCAACACTGCCTCCTCCCACCACAACCTGCTGGGTTGGAGCGAGGGGGTGTTGGGGATCTGTGAAGTAAACCTATATAGATATATTTAACAGATATGACGGATATGACAAATAACAAATGTTCAGTGCTCCGAGACTGTTTTATTTACAAAGATGGCACTGTTTTTATGAACCTTAGACTGAAATTGGAAACAAGAAGCATTGATTTCTTGGAATGATATAAAAAACCATACACATAGGCTACAGTATATGTGTGAGAAATACTGCAAAGACACTCACTCTGAATTAACTCTGAGGCTCTATCTTCTATCTTAATCAGGAGTGAATAATTGTAATGCAGCAGATGACTAACATACACCATAATTACGTAAAATAATAAGTTCATAAAATAAATGGTGGAGAGAATTTACTGAATTATATAAATAATGTCTATGGGATTAAAGTGATGCTGATGGTGTGCACTGAGAAATGTATACATAAGCAAATAATACATGCTATTACATTCCATTACTATTAAAAGACTAAATATTTCTGTCAGTCTATTCAGTTTGATCTGCGATTCAGGATTACAGTGAGAATAATAAACTGTGATTTTATTCTTTGTCAGTTTTTCTCTGTCACAATATTAAAAAAACACCTCAAGAACACTCACTGTGAGCATTGTAATTACAGTATGGGGACAGCCTTCCCGTGAAATCAGCATTCAGTTGAGCAATGCTTAGGAATTGTAATGAAAATAGCAAGCTTTTCACAATTTAACGATTCAGTAACACTTTACTCTAATATGGCAAATGAAAAATATGCAAATGATTTCTAAATACAAATCTAAAGGGGCACTTGACTGATTTTATGTGTAAAAAGGTATAACAGTGGCTCTTGTGGAGGTACCTTTGTCAGGTCTGAAAAATAACTTTTAGTTATTATTAATATTATAATAATATAAATACTTTATGATGTCTTTCGGGTTATATGTGGACTTGAGAGTACAGTTTTGTTTTTTACAAAAAATAATGGGGCTGTGTCGTTTAAACGACACAGGCGTTTACTCGTCAGAGAGGTTCTAACAAAAAAAAGCTGAGATGCATTATGGGAAGTGTAAGTGACTCATATTAGTGACTAAAAGTCAGAATATCTCGGAAACCATCATCATGATTTTTTTTTCTTGAAACAGAAGCATTTTGTCTTACTCCTTCGTCAAGAACTAAAGCTGGCTTGTTTGGTTTGGGTTTTGCTTCGGTCCACAGTTTCTCACACACAGCCGTTAGAGGGAAACTGCAGGACTTGACAGTGATCCTTGCACCTGCTTATGAGAGAAACCCAAACAGGGTTATTTCAGTTGTGTTTACACCCGGACTTCAGTTTCCGGCAGGCAGCTGTCACAGTGTGGGCAGCAAACAGTCCTTGTGCCTAATTTAAAAATAATTCTGTTTTCTATTAGCATCCTAACCAGTTGTATTTGTTATGTTTTTCTTGGCATAAGACTTTGCATTACATAATCCTGCAGATGCACAAATTATTACATCTACAGCAGTTGAAACAGTTTTTCAAAGTTAACTTTTTGCAGAATTACACTTTCCTTGATTGTTTGTAGTTTAACTTCTTCCAATGTTCTGGGAATCTTTACAAAAACTAGTTTCCTCACAAACAAGAGATTACAACTGAAATTGCACCGTATCACTAGACTAATCTTTAGTACTTACAATATAATGTAAAGAATAGTGGAAAAAAGTGGATACAAATATGGCAATTATTTACTAAATGTAACGTAAACTTCAGCCTGCATTATGCACTGCACATGTGATGCAGGCTATTGCAAGCTTTCACAGTCATATATATATGAATGAAAAGGCGACTCTGACTTGTCGAGGAAGTAAGAGGCAGTAGATAGATACATCATTGAGCCGTCCTAAAAATGGAAACATGAGAGAGGAAGAGAGTGCAGAGAACCACAGGGCATAAAAGACACAGTTGAGGGAAGTAGGCTGCTGCATGTCAATCAAGAAGCTGAGAAACAAGGAGCGGAGGAGTCTTAAAGCTGTGATGCAGGGAGGTGTTGCAACAGGAGAGAAAAGAGAGACAAGAATGAAAAGCTTTGTGAAACTCTGCCATGGAAACAGCAATGACACACACACGCATACACACACATGCGTACAGACACAAAAGCCCATCCGGTCCAGAGCTATTAATGTTATATAGCATCACAACAACCATAAATTAATCACAGAGTCCCTCTCACAACAGAAACTGTTGTTTCGGGTGCCGGACAGACTGTTGCTAACTCAGCCAGGGAGAGAAAGTGTTCTTTGAGTGAGGGGGAGACCAGTTGGTGTGTTAATTTACATCCTTCTTATTCCTATTTGAAATAAATATCCCTCATCTATTACATTGTCTACTTTCCTTAAAATATATTACTATTATTATTGTGAAAGCTATGTAAATCTTTAATGTTACCTGTGTTTAATCTAGCACACAGAAATCCGACTACCTATCAAGTACGGATCATTTCTACAGTACAGCAAACTCTGTCACTTCAGCCATGTGTGGAATAATTATTGTGCCTGCTTTGTGTCTCCATCTGGTGTTATATTTTTACTGTCTCAACACAGACCAAGTTTGGGAAGTGATAAGGTTTCAAAGCTTTCCTGAGATGTTTGCGGCCCTTGTCTTCGGTCTCAGCGGTAGTCGGCAGATTCTCAGCCTGGTGGTGAAGAGTTATAATTACTCCCAGCTTGTGTTCTTGTGGGTGGTGGGAATCAAACAGCAAATACTGATCAGTGTGAGTGGGTTTCCTGTAAACTTCAATTTTCAAGCTGCCCCTCTACTTAATATGGCACAGTCCAAGAAGGGAGAACTAATTATTTTTTTACGTGGCCTAATATAAATTTGATGTTGCTGTCTATTGAGCAGTAGAGTACTCACACTTCTAAATATCAACATGTGTATTTAAACCAATAGCTACACATGGAACAGTTCATTGCTCTCCTTTCTACTCTCTCCATATCGATATTTGCACATTTAATCAAAGCTCCAGGAGCAGGGTTATTCATCCAGCCTGACCTGGGTTTTCAACCTGACTGAATCTGTTACTGGTGCAAACAAATTTAAAATCCAAACCTGTCTGGAGACCCTAGGCTTTTTGCTTTATTGCATCCATTACTGACTGTTAGCTTGCCATGCTAATACAACACACTGTCTCTCCCTCTGTGCATTGTATATTACTTCCAACACAACATGTGAGACTTTCTTCAAGTTGCACTAATCAATAATGGGTCAAATGAAGTGAAAGCTGCCGCTCATTCTGACAAACCCACAAAAGATTATCACCCAAATCAGTTCCCCTCAACTCTGTGGAGCATCTTTTAGCATCTTTTAGCTCATTGTTTTGGTTTGACTTGGTTATACGGCCTGCAACTTTCCTGTTTTGGTTTATTCTTAATGGTCTTATCAACTCTAGTTCCAGCAGCAGCAGGCAGCTGTTTTAACCCTAACCCTAACCCAAAACACACCGTATGATACCTGACCCGCACCAAACGTCGTTGGCGACTAGCTAGTAAACATAATGTAGCATTTAGCAACTAAAAGGCCACAAGTTTCCCTCTGGAGTTGGTAGAGACAAAAAACGGAGTTAAAAGCAGAGTGAATATTTAAGTGTGACATTCCGAAACTGGTGTGAGTTTGTTAGCTACCTGAGGTTAAAAGGAGTGGAAGCTTTCTAATAAAGCTTGGTTCATATTTGCTGCCTTATCTTCATTTATGGCTTAAGGAGAGGAGAGGAGAGGAGACTTGATCTACTACATCGACAGCACTTTAGGAGAACACTGCGTTCCTGGCCCACTTCCCATGCAGCTTGACAAGTCCAAAGAGTGGACAGGTGGTGTGGGGATGGTGCTGGAATGGTATTATGAGATGATGCCCAGTGGCCATGTGGCATCGCCCGCTCTTCGTATGGAACGAGAAGAGTCTGAGTACCCACAGTGACCGCAGCTATGAGTCACTGGCACTGCCACTTCCTGCCAAAGTGGATCAGAATGAGTGGGGCTTTGGGTCAGGGCAAGGCTAGAACATTTGATGAAAAGTTTCGTGACTGGGGACAGCCTTTCAGTGTAACACGAGGCTCCCAACTAGCAGCCAAGCGTAGATCAGACCAATCTAGTCGGTTGCAAGAAATTTTGCAAGAAAATAGCTCAAGATAGTTTTTCTTCTAGCAAAACTATTTGTGTAAATGTATAAATTTAAGCTAAATCCATTTTAGCATCTTTGAAAAGCAGGGGGAAAAGTTTGAATTAAAGTGCTTCTACTTGTTGACATGACTTGACTCATAAATTAGAGAGTGTGTGTGTGTGT